TGTCGTTTTCCTGGTTATCAATTCATATTAACGATTTTTATACATTATATCACATAGGAGTTTGATTATATTGTGCTATACTGATTGTGTTAATACGCCATTGAAACAAGTTCTGTACGATGTGACTCCTAACAAAGAGCTACATAGAAAAATTGACTTCCGTTTTGTTTACATCCCATTAACACAAGTGAAATCGATCGCTACCAACAACGCCACACCGTCAGACACATTAGTAGTCTACAATAGATGTAGATATATTTGTATTACAAATACATTCAGTGTCATCAATACCAATTCGGATCGATCACACTCACAATGCCTGTGCATGATTGAAAGAAGATCGCCCCGCTGTATTCCACTGCATTACCACATGAGGCGTCTAATGTGGGACGATGTGCAGATTCATATTCTTTATCGAACGACGGGTAATATTTGATGGCGTCCGTCAAACCGTTAACATCAACTTATCATTTGAAATTAAAATCAAAACAAATGTTCAATCTTATATTAAACCACGCTTGTTGGCCCAGATAAAAGTGTGCGTAACCACAGACCCCCCACCACTCACCCCCATGTATCATTACCTATCATTAATTTGCCCTCTTTCCACAACTCTTGTGTTCTTTTTATTGAATACATACATGTGCGCATGTAAATATTTCTCTGACTTCTCCGCATCCACAGAAATATTGCCATTGGTTCATTTTAATCTACTGGTCTTTCCTGCGTTTTATTTTTGATCTCTGATTAAACTTAAACTTCCAAACACAGTCATTATTTCTTGAACTGGATCATACTTAGTGTCGCGCTACCACTTAATAATCCACTGTTACTGTTCCAGCGCCCGTTCTTCTTATCAGATTATATTGGAGCTTTCTGAATGGCATCTCTCTCTCTCTCTCTCTCTCTCTCTCTCTCTCTCTCTCTCTCTCTCTCTCTCTCTCTCTCTCTCTCTCTCTCTCTCTGTCTCCCCCTCTCTCTCCTTCTCTGTCTCTGTCTCTCTCAGTGTCTCTCTCCTTCTCTGCCTCTCTCTGTCTGTCTTTCTATATCCCTCTGTCTCTCTGTCTCTCTCTTTCTCTCTGCCCCCCCCCTCTCTCTCTCTGTGTCTCTCTATCTCTGTCTCTCTTATGTAGCCTTTGTAAAATTCTTTAGCATTTTGTGACTGGGGAAAGGTCTTCAGTGTTAAAGAGAGGTCAGATGTTGTCGGGCAATATTCTGAAGTAGTGACAGTGTCGTATCTCGAATTCTGGTGTTTTCAGCTATATAAGTATTCACACCTATTGGCCTGATCGATAATGTCATTGTGTATTTATTAGTATAATACAAATTATGTGTGTGTAAAGTCGATAGGGTTGTGCTGATAAGGCTGGGTTTTTATACAGAACATATTACTTATTCATTGAAATACCTAACACACCGCGGTCAACTGACTCCATTTTTATTCGATCATTATTAATGCAAAGTTTCGGTAATACGAACACAAATTGGGTCAATTTAGTTTGTGTTTCATGTTTTAATTTGATCTAAACATAAAACAAAAAACCGCTGGAAGTATTACTTATCGATTTGTGATCGGTTATATATTTCCAGAACAGCTCTCATGATATCAAAATCGATTAAATTCCATACCATTTATAAATAATACAATATGATACACTCAGATGACAGACACATGTTTTCCTCAATTCCAGGCGTTCAACCAACACCGGATTGACAATATTTTCAAACCAGTTGGAACAAGGAAAACAGAGTAACGCATTTTTTTCACTTACACAAAGCATTCGATATAGCATGAATTGTCATTGCGGTAAAACTTGGGGACTTTTTGTCATTTTCATTTTTCTGAAGCTGTAATTTGAAGACAAGTGCCCGAGAAATATTACCAAAACAAAATGTAAACAAGAGAATACCTTTGGATTCATATATGTATGGCAAATGTGATTTACGGTACGATAAATGCCACCCAGCTTGTCACCGTCACAACGCTATCACCATAAGACAAGCGACATGCGTAGGAAATGCAATAGATAAGGAACTGTCTGGCATTAACGGTCGATATAAATGACAAACATAATAACCATATCAGAATATTGCCGAAGCGTATTATAGGTTCATATAGCGTACTGCTTCCACAGAAAGCGCATGTTAAAACTCGTTATTTTATATAAGTCGCTCTTTCAGATAACATAAATGTAGAGTATTTTGATGAAAAGGAGTATTTTTCGTGCCAATTAGTTATAAAGTTACCTTTCCACGCAGGAGTGTAGTTACCATGTCGGTAACGCCTTATGGGCAGTTGCATGGTTCTGAAAACACTGATATCACATACTGAACGTTTACGATCTTCTTGAAATCACGGACTGAGTTACCCTCGCACCCTTCCTCATCTTCATTAATTACGTTTATCTATCTTATTTATGTATTTAACTATAAATACTTATATATTACTGTATCTCAAATGTGTCTATCCCCGATGTTTATTAAAGATTCCCCCAGCGGACGTGAAAAAGTATGGGGTCATCCACCCGACCTCATAGGTTTTCTGCAGGTATTCATTAAGACCCGGATATTGACAACGGATAACGACTAATGAAATTAAACGACATGACGTTCAATTTCAGCACAAATCTCTCAGCACAAGTGTCTGCTGAACTTTCGATTATATGCATATTATAAAGGTAACTGATTCTTAAGCTAGTTTTAAAAGCGTTCCGTTCATTTTTTCCTTAAATAAATCAAACATTTAACTCAAATCAACATCATACACAGGTTTAGACTACGGTCCATATATATGTAAATACATATTCAATGGACCGTGAGTAAGGAATCCGTGCGAGTCCCTGCATGAGTGTATTTTTTTTTTTATTTTACCATTTAATGATTGTCATATGACGTCTCTAAATATCTAATACGAGTGCCCTGAAATTCTAGTTCCAAATAATATTGCCGGTAGTGATATGAATAAACAACATGTTAAAGAAAACAGAACGCATGTCAGTAAATATATTATACAAATAGGTATATCGAATTTTAAACCAATAGTTTGTTTAGTCCGCATGCTCGAGGGACAAGTAAATAGAGCACTTTAGCTAGGATGTGTGAAGCTCAAACAGATCTAGAAAAGCAACCTTTAGGAAACAATAGCAGAATATTAACACGGAATTATGCCAGAAATTCGAACTTCAGTAAAGAACACTTGTAGATAAATTTATTCATTTATTTTCCTTTTTACTGAATGAAATAGAAATGTGCTGCAACGGAGAAATATTTTGATTACATAATGGTGTCCTTTAATACCAATATACTATACAAGAATCATTCTACTTTAGTATTGTGGTAAACTGAAGATAGATTTACACGCGAGGGAAGCGAGATACATAAACGTGGTTAAGAACTGAGGTAGATTTTGACGCCATTTGATAATAAAATCCATAACCTGGCTTCTTTATACCTGTATACTGACTAGGATTTGGTGATCGGCTTCTCCAAATACATAATTATAACTTTAAAGGCAACATATCTATGTTTCGTGTAATTTACAAAATCTAGTGACATTTTGCAAACCAACTAAATTTACAAGCACCTGAAAGACTATTTATAAAATTACTGTAATATGTACATTTGTATAGAAAATATGATAAACTTTTGAGAGGCGAAAAAATATCGGACTGCGCAAGAGTGGTGTCACATGGGAGACGACAGAAAATCTGGAAATCCTTTTATTCAGAAGATTATGAAAGCCTTTTTGACTGAAACGAAATGTAACCAGTAATTAATAATTATCTGCTGGAGATTAGACCACCGTTCTGCCGGAAATAGCAATCATTATCATCTGTCTCTATACTTCCTCAGTTGCCTACAAGGTTTAAAACGGGTATGGTGCTTTATCGTTACGGAGCACCAAACTCAGTTCATCGCCATCGTCTATTAAATACGTGACCAATGACGACAGATAAACATGCATTGGAGTCATTGTGTCTAAATATAGAACATTTACGTCTAGAAGGTGGTGTATTCAACGTGAATGTTTTAGATTTCGATTAAAACTGCGAAATTTACAAGTTAAATGCAAAACAAAAGATAAATCAAATGACTTGATCACCTTTTATGATTCTGAAGTTACTACGGACGTTCAGATGATATCTATCATATCTCCAACACTATCAAGTAGGACTCTATGTGACTAGCGCTATCATGTCAAACTGTCATGTTTTAGAAAGTAATTGTTGCAATTAATGTGTATGAATATGAATAATTAAGTTAAACGACACTCGTCAAAAATACAAGTTTATTAAATATGTGTATTGAAAGAAAAAAAATAACATTATGATGTCTGTGGATGAGATCGAACGTGCGACTCCGTGCAAATTCTATTAATGTGGAAGTAACGTTTCTTTTTTTAATCATTCAAGCGTTTTTGGTCCCAATTATAGGGCCCCGGGGGTTGGGTTCCCGAGGTTCGTTACAAAGCATGTAATAGTATCATATATTAGATAACAGCCATTGACACATTTTACGCAGTCACTTATAATATATTCATTTCACACTATATGGAGTTTAAGTATTAAAATGCATTAACACGAAGCATGAAAAAGCAAAATTTTGACAAGTTACAGAACTCATTACGCACAAACGACAAGTAACATTTTACTCTCTGTACTATAGACACTGATAAAGAAAGCATCTACATCTGCATCAGCACTGAACATTTTTTTTTTAATAATTCATTGTTTATTTTACTTTATTAAAGTTGAATAACGCAGTTGAATTAAGAAGTAATTTAAAGAGACATTAAACAACAGGTTCAAATAAGAAATATTCATATATTTAGACTCTTTTTCAATTTATATTATTGTTTTGTATATATTCGAAAAGATGGTTTCAAATAACGGTGCTGCACAATGTAAGGGAGGTAACTCCAATATAAAATATGTTTTACATTAAATGCACTTCCGGTTCTTGGTAAAACAAGAAACAGATATCTGACAGATGCTGTCATTATTGATACGATGCTGACCTGGTGATAGATTGGATTTATTTCTCATTCATCGTTTTAAAAAGGTAATAATCGCTTTCGGTTTAGATAGGATGTGGTCGGAGTCATTTGTAATTGTTTACATGTTGCTCGACCTGCACTGCTCTGCTGAAAATGGGGCATACAAAACAGACTGTTAACTGTGTCAGCTTACAAACAGGGTATAATGAACTTAGACAAGGAATATTTTTATAGGTCTATCTAGATCAGTACTTTTTATAACAACCATCATCTGTGGACCAAATGTGTACATTATGTAATGAATTAAAAATCAAGAATTGGTCATAAGATTTTCAATGTTTTTGGAAAATAAAAGACGCGATATGTGAAGTATGAGCAAGCTGTATATGTAGGAGTCGGCTTCATGTAAAACGCTTTATTACAACTGTAATGTAAGTGGACCCTTGATATACAGTACATTTGTACATTGTAACTACATGTATAGCTGTACACACACACACACACACACACACACACACATATATAATTATAATATAAATGTAGCACTGTATTACATGTGAAACAACATCACTAAAACGAAACAAGACCCATGGAGGTGGTCACTTAAAATGGTCCTTTCCGTGGTTCGTCATCCATCCATCTGTTCTTTAAAATAATTCTTGTGGTCGCCATTTTTCAAATCCCACATGAAGGTATACCCATTAATCCCTAGTTGTGCCTTTTTGATTTTAGACTTGATCAGAAAAAAACAAAATGGCTGACAGATGGCCATCGTAGATTTTCACAATGAAAATATGTTATTTCTATTTCTTGAGAAGGACTGAACTAATTTCTCAAACTTAACATGTAGCAAGATAAATCAAATAGATCTTTATATTTCCTAGAATTGTAAGTTTCTGTTACCATTTCAGGTTTGGTCACGAAAGAGACATTTATCTAGTAATGATGTGATCCTGTGAGATTGGATGTTGTTCTGTATTGAGGTTGGAAGCTGTGCCTAAAAGATTGGATGCTGTATAAGAAACACTGAACACTAGCCATGAAGCTGACTCTGTTTGACATTAAGTTTGAGAACCAGCAAGGGGTTTTCAACGCTGGCTGTGAAATCATCGGAAACATTATCATCAATTTGGAAAGACCCATGAAAATGAGACGTAAGAACATTTTCTTAAATTAGCAATAGCTACCTTTCCTGATCTTATTTGTAGAAATATTTTTAGTGTGAATAAATAAACAGTATAATGTACCATAACACTGTAAAAAAATTTCTTGATGAATATGTGTGAAGCTTTGGGCTACAGTAGGCCTGTCATTGCATGAAAAAAACATGTAGCAATTTATCATTCACACTCACCTATTCACTTATGGATTCTCCAATGTAATATTTTTAGCCACCATCATCATATGGTGGACTATTCAAATCACTCTGCGACCATGGTCCTTGGTCTGCCCATCATCTGCGTCCGTTCATAAACAGTTTTTGTTACTGCCTTTTTCTTGAGAAATAATGGACAGATCTTTCTCAAATTGCATATGTAGGCCCCCCTTGGTCCCAAGTTGTGCCCATTTGATTTTGGGACTGAAAAAAAAAAGACGAAACGGCTGACAGACAGCCATCTTGGATTTTTTCAATGAAGTTCATTGTTGCTATTTCTTGATAAATAAGAAATTGATCTCTCTCTCTCAAATTTCATATGTAGGTTCCCCTTGGTCTCTAGGTGTGCCCATATTATTTTGAGACTGATCAGAAAAACCAAAATGGTGGAAAGGTGGCCATCTTGGATTTTGACTTTGAAAGTTTGTTATCACTATCTCTTGAGAAATGCTGGATAGATCTTTCATAAATTTCATATGTAGGTTCCCCCTTGGTCCCTAGTTGTGCCCATTTGATTTTGGGACTAATCACAAAAACAAAATGGCCGACAGACAGTCATTTTAGATTTTGACTTTGAAAGGTTGTGATCGCTGTTTTTGAGAACTACAGTCTAGATCTTTGTCAAATTTCATGTGTATGCTTTCCTTGATCCCTAGTTGTGCCTGTTTGGTTTTGGAACAGATCAGAAAAAAAAAATGGCCCACAAGCGGCCATCTTGGATTTTGACTTCAAAAGTTGATCACTTTTTCTTGAGAACTACTTAAATTGTATAGATTCATTTAGGTCCCTAGTTGTGCCTGTTTGAGTTTGGGACTGATGAGAAAAATATATTGCTGACAGGCAACCATCTTGGATTTTGCGTAAAGATTATTATTGCTATTTTTTATGAAGTACTGAATGGATATCTCTCAAATTTCATGCATATGTTCCCTTTGGTCTCTTCTTGTGCTTGTTGGATTTTGGGACTGATCAGAAGAAACAAGAGGTTCTGGGTTCGATTCCTTGCAGAGGCATTGAAATAAATAATGACCTCTGTGACATCTTATGCTAACAAATGTTCCAAACAGGATGCAATATGAGGACATTCAGAAGAAACAAAATTTGTGGATTGATTTGATGTTAAGTCCACACTGACATTCAATGCAACCACAATTGACAGTTTGACTTTAACCCTGTGTTACATGGTGTCTTGCTGTACACTTACTCAAAGTTACACACTCAATCATTACTGAAGAGCTGTTGTGCATACACTGACGATAATACAGTAGTCAAAGGGTATCAGGATTATTTCAATGGCAGAATAGATCAGATGTATATTTAATCCTTAGTGCTTTGTGTACGGTATATGTTACTAGTAGGATCTTCCCTGGAGTGTTTGAATATAAAATAAAATCTTCTGAAACTTGTTTTATAAAATCTCACTGGGAATGACAACTCATACATGATCCTATGTTTATCAAGTGTTGGAGGTATTGATATAGAGGTAGCTTTTAGTTAATTTTCTTAACTTGTTCTTGTCTGCACCTGATGAAAACTGTTCCCCCTCAAAGGTTAAGAAATGAAATGTTGTAGCAGTTACCTGTGATAACTGAGTTATCAATATTTTTACTTTTAATCCTGCATGACTGAACAGTATGACTTAACTGAATATTAAGCTGATAATTTGGGATTAAATGCTTCTTTGACTATTTTCTTTTTCAGGAATAACAATCTATTTTGAGGGGAAAGGAAAAGCCTTTTGGGATGTCCGTTCAGGGAAACACACCACGAAATATAGAGGCCATGAAAATTATCTCAACCATACCATTCTGGTGTTTGGATCAGGTAATTACAAAATACATGACTTCTGTGATGTCTTCCTAGCAAAGAATGTCTATAGATTCCTTGTTATGTGATAGGATTGATCGCCTGAGAATCATCAACATCCATTTCTGTATACAAAACTTGTTATAAGACTAGATGTTGTTGTATAGTTGTCAGCATCCAGAGGTGTTTAATTATACTTTATTATCTGTCATCAAAGAAAACAAAACTACATGCCCACTAAATATTTAACATAGATCAAAATTCAAGGAAATCTACCGTATGTTATATTCTTGTATACACAGACACCAGTTTCTAGACATCTGTGAAAGTTAATCACTAAATATTTAACATAGATCAAAATTCAAGGAAATCTACCGTATGTTATATTCTTGTATACACAGACACCAGTTTCTAGACATCTGTGAAAGTTAATCACCGTGAACAAACTCAAACTTGAACAACTGCAAAATATGAACTGCTGCGAAATCAAATAACTATACAGTCATTTTATCAAAATCATTTTGGTTTGATATCTATTATCTTTTTTCTAAGTAAGGACATGATATTATAATTTGTATATAATCTGGATGATATATCATCATATACAAGAATGTCATTTGTAATAACAAACATATTCATAAAATCAAGTGTAAATTTTTCAAACCAATTAATTCATGTAACTTAAATTGACCCAGAATTGAAGAAATCAATCAAGCGTGCAAGATTTCAAAATTTTCAGTCATCATTCGTAACAAATTTAAAAAAAAATTATTTTCTATGCATATTAGCAGTAATTTTATTTTAGTGCTTTAAGTACTGTAAGCATTGCCCTAAGATGTTACTTTGGTGCTTTAAGTACTGTAAGCATTGCCCTGAGATGTTATTTTAGCTTTAAGTGCTGTAAGCATTGCCCTGAGATATTACTTTGGTGCTTTAAGTACTGTAAGCATTGCCCTAAGATGTTACTTTGGTGCTTTAAGTACTGTAAGCATTGCCCTGAGATGTTATTTTAGCTTTAAGTGCTGTAAGCATTGCCCTGAGATATTACTTTGGTGCTTTAAGTACTGTAAGCATTGCCCTGAGATGTTATTTTAGCTTTAAGTACTGTAAGCATTGCCCTGAGATGTTATTTTAGCTTTAAGTACTGTAAGCATTGCCCTGAGGTATCACTTTGGTGCTTTAAGTACTTTAAGCATTGCCCTGAGATGTTATTTTAGCTTTAAGTACTGTAAGCATTGCCCTTAGATATTAATTTGGTGCTTTAAGTACTGTAAGCATTGCCCTTAGATATTACTTTGGTGCTTTAAGTACTGTAAGCATTGCCCTTAGATATTAATTTGGTGCTTTAAGTACTGTAAGCATTGCCCTGAGATATTACTTTGGTGCTTTAAGTACTGTAAGCATTGCCCTGAGATATTACTTTGGTGCTTTAAGTACTGTAAGCATTGCCCTGAGATATTACTTTGGTGCTTTAAGTACTGTAAGCATTGCCCTGAGATATTACTTTGGTGCTTTAAGTACTGTAAGCATTGCCCTGAGATATTACTTTGGTGCTTTAAGTACTGTAAGCATTGCCCTGAGATATTATTTTGGTGCTTAAAGTACTGTAAGCATTGCCCTGAGATATTTTGGTGTTACACTTTCTCTGTGTTGCTTTCATTCCAATGAGTTTGGTTGCCCAAATTCGTCATTTGTCAGGAAGAAATAATTTGCTTAAGTTGGATTGCACCAAATGAAGCGTGAAAACTAGGTACTAAACAAGATATCTTCATTCTGTGTTTTAAGTGTGTTTGTTTTGTTTGTTATAAAGGACAAGGCTCAGAGAACGTTGTGGAACACCCTGCGGGACAACATGTGTACCCCTTCTCTCTCCATCTCCCGTCCACTGTACCATCTTCATTTGAGGGACGGCGTGGTTATGTACGCTACACTTGTAAGGCAAATATCGACCGACCTTGGAAATTTGACGAGAGTACTAAAAGAGCATTTACTGTCATCCGTCATTTGGACCTCAACACAATACCTAATATTTTGGTAGGTAACCTCATATTGTATCCCAAAGTTACACTTCAGACTTCAGAAAAATTAGAATTCTGACCGTTGCTCAGAAGCTCACCAGACGGACTTTGTCGCGTGCTAATCTGAACCTTTTAGAGACAGATCCTGCTAACTTTCTGCAGAGGTTTGTGACTATGGATGAAACGTAGGTAAATTTTTTCACCCCAGAGGCCAAACAACAGTCTAAACATTGAAAGCACCCTGATTGACCCCGCCAAAGAAGGCAAAGACTGTTCAATCAGCTGGAGATGTTATGGCCTCAGTTTTCTCGGATGCTGATGGTATTCTGATAATAGATATAAGCCCTTGTTCACAAGTCTGTTATTGCCATGGCTGCCATTTACAATTATGGCTTGGAATTGATCGAGCATCTATCTTATTAACCTGAGCTCACTCCATCAGACTTTCATCAATTCCCAAAGTTAAAAAAGGCCATTTCTGGTACCCACTTTCAGTTAGATGTCATATATGCAGTGGAGGATTTTCTGAACGGTCAAGAAAAGGACTTCCTTAAAAGTGGCATTGAGGCCCTTAAACATTGCTGTCAAAAGTGTGTAGATACTGAAGGGGATTATGTTGAAAAATAATGCAATATGTCCGCCAAAAGTCAAACCCATGAATATGAGGTTCACAACATATCCCTTGTACATAGGACCCCTGTTTTATACAGAGAATTTATGAAAGACCAATAAATACATACACATGTATTTATATTAGAATACTGTTATAAAAGTGTCAGTGTTTACTATGACTGTATGCTCACATGCTGTGTGTGTTATGTGATAATATCACCCACTCAAAAAAGTTCCTGATAATTGGAAGGGCAGCACCAGGAACAACTTAACATGTAAATTTACACATGTAGGAAAAAAGTATTCCTGTGATATTTTGTTTATTTTTTTTTACATGTAGTTTATACAGCTATAAATATGTGCTGTGTGATTATCTTAACTGTAGATATTGAAATCTGTCTGCTAAATGTTAATATAACACACGCTTTTTGAAATTACTTTTTTTTTTTTTTTTTTTTATAAATGAAATATTTGTCAAATACATTGTAGATATTGTTTCTTTTTATGATTTACAGGAAACTTACCAAAAGTGTTCAAAATGAAAATTTAATTTAGAGAAATATCAGTGTGCTTTGGTATTTTTTCTTAAAAAATGTAACAACTCAGCGAAACGCATGAATTTTCAGAAAATAATATTCACATAGCAGTATACCTGTTATGTAAAACGTTCAATAAAATTTAGGTGTGAAAATGTCAAGCCTTTACAACAACACAAAATTCATTGTGCATAGGAGAAAAAAAAATTTTTTTGGAAAAGGATGACAAATTTTGGTCTTAAGGAAAATCTTTCAGAAAAGATATGTTATAACAAAGATTTGCTGACATATTGACATCAAAAGACTTTGTTAATGTGACAGTAAAACTGCTGACAATGTTTTTGTGTGTAAATGTCCTAAATGAAGGCTAAAATTCATTGAAATTATCTTTAATCTCCCTGACTGTGAAGACAAGACATCTAATGTATTAGAACAAGGCTAACTGCTATATTACAGGATATTTTGTTGTTTACAAAAGTGATATTTTTCTTTAAAGATGCCATCGAGGGCTGTTGAGCAGGAAACAATTCAAGGATGTTGTTGTGAAGAAGGAAAGGTGAAGGTCACCTTGGCAATCAACAAGACCGGCTTCGTCCCAGGGGAACACCTTGTCTATGATATTGAAGTGGAAAATAATAGTGAGAATGCCATCTCCCACCTGAGCTTGGAACTAAGACAGGTCAGAACTATTCTGTCAGAAAAAAGGAAAATGAAATCAGGTGGCCATTTCTGGCTTAATGTCAGGAAACAAATAATGTTTAGTGTGCCTATTGAAAGGATGAAGGGATATATAGAGTGATCCCATCATAAGCCATGTGCCAGCTTTTAAAATTCTGCTGCAAGTTATGAAATGTTCTAGTACAAGATTAAATATATATATAGACATGTGTCTATATATGTTCAGACAGGGTGATGTGTTAATCATGAAATGTGTCTATATATGTTCAGACCGGGTGATGTTTTGTATCATGATGTGTGTCTATATATGTTCAGACCGGGTGATGTTTTGTATCATGATGTGTGTCTATATATGTTCAGACAGGGTGATGTGTTTATCATGAAATGTGTCTATATATGTTCAGACAGGGTGATGTGTTTATCATGAAATGTGTCTATATATGTTCAGACAGGGTGATGTGTTTATCATGAAATGTGTCTATATATGTTCAGACAGGGTGATGTGTTTATCATGAAATGTGTCTATATATGTTCAGACAGGGTGATGTGTTTATCATGAAATGTGTCTATATATGTTCAGACAGGGTGATGTGTTTATCATGAAATGTGTCTATATATGTTCAGACAGGGTGATGTTTTGTATCATGAAATGTGTCTATATATGATCAGACAGGGTGATGTGTTTATCATGAAATGTGTCTATCATGAAATGTGTCTATATATGTTCAGACCGGGTGATGTTTTGTATCATGAAATGTGTCTATATATGTTCAGACAGGGTGATGTGTTTATCATGAAATGTGTCTATATATGTTCAGACCGGGTGATGTTTTGTATCATGATGTGTGTCTATATATGTTCAGACCGGGTGATGTTTTGTATCATGAAATGTGTCTATATATGTTCAGACCGGGTGATGTGTTTATCATGAAATGTGTCTATATATGTTCAGACAGGGTGATGTTTTGTATCATGATGTGTGTCTATATATGTTCAGACCGGGTGATGTTTTGTATCATGATGTGTGTCTATATATGTTCAGACAGGGTGATGTGTTTATCATGAAATGTGTCTATATATGTTCAGACCGGGTGATGTTTTGTATCATGAAATGTGTCTATATATGTTCAGACCGGGTGATGTTTTGTATCATGAAATGTGTCTATATATGTTCAGACCGGGTGATGTTTTGTATCATGAAATGTGTCTATATATGTTCAGACAGTGTGATGTTTTGTATCATGATGTGTGTCTATATATGTTCAGACCGGGTGATGTTTTGTATCATGAAATGTGTCTATATATGTTCAGACCGGGTGATGTTTTGTATCATGAAATGTGTCTATATATGTTCAGACCGGGTGATGTTTTGTATCATGAAATGTGTCTATATATGTTCACACAGGGTGATGTTTTGTATCATGAAATGTGTCTATATATGTTCACACAGGGTGATGTTTTGTATCATGAAATGTGTCTATATATGTTCAGACCGGGTGATGTTTTGTATCATGAAATGTGTCTATATATGTTCAGACCGGGTGATGTTTTGTATCATGATGTGTGTCTATATATGTTCAGACAGGGTGATGTGTTTATCATGAAATGTGTCTATATATGTTCACACAGGGTGATGTTTTGTATCATGATGTGTGTCTATATATGTTCAGACAGGGTGATGTGTTTATCATGAAATGTGTCTATATATGTTCACACAGGGTGATGTTTTGTATCATGAAATGTGTCTATATATGTTCAGACCGGGTGATGTTTTGTATCATGAAATGTGTCTATATATGTTCAGACAGGGTGATGTGTTTATCATGAAATACGTCTATATATGATCAGACAGGGTGATGTGTTTATCATGATGTGTGTCTATATATGTTCAGACAGTGTGATGTTTTGTATCATGAAATGTGTCTATATATGTTCAGACAGGGTGATGTGTTTATCATGAAATGCGTCTATATATGATCAGACAGGGTGATGTGTTTATCATGAAATGTGTCTATATATGTTCAGACAGGGTGATGTGTTTATCATGAAATGCGTCTATATATGATCAGACAGGGTGATGTGTTTATCATGAAATGCGTCTATATATGTTCTGATTGATGCTTTAAACAGTCTTAGAATTAATACATTACTAAAAAATGTTTTTTTTTTTTTTTTTTACTAAATTCAAGTTAGAAATGAAGTTTGATCTATTTTGCAGGAAGCAACATACACTGGTTATTCTGACAGTCTGTTTTCCTCAGGGAATCCCCATTACCATCAGAAGGTAGACACCTTTAACCTTGTCAGCGGAAACTTGTCCATCCCCCAGGGAACGACCAAGGCCTTCCATCAGGCAGCCGTTATACCCTCCCTGCCACCATCAAAACTGGAGGGCTGTACCATTGTGGACATTTCCTACATTGTTGTGGTATGTAGTCAATATCTCATTATTTACGTTATTAAGTCTGTGTCTGGTAATAAGTCACCCATGGGTCCCTGGGCTTATTGCAGGGTAAGTGTATTATACTACAAGTGATGGATTTGCCTAAATATTCACTTTTGAAGTTTGAATGTCTAGATTTGATGTCAGTTTATTTTCTACAGTGATATGATATTAACTATACTACTGTAGTGAAAGACTAAGGAAACATATATGTCAAGGTCCATTGATTCAGATTGGTTTGTGCTTCCATTCGTCCATCACACTTATTTATGAAGTCCTACTGTTCCAGAGCGGACAAAGCTTTTATAGACTTTACTAATTTCCCAGAGGTTTACAATGTACTGTCTTACTGACAAATGTCCCTCAAATTCTAGGTCTTCAATGTATTGTCTTACTGACAAAGGTCCCTCAAATTCTAGGTCTACAATGTACTGTCTTACTGACAAAGGTCCCTCAAATTCTAGATCTACAATGTACTGTCTTACTGACAAAGGTCCCTCAAATTCTAGGTCTACAATGTACTGTCTTACTGACAAAGGTCCCTCAAATTCTAGGTCTACAATGTACTGTCTTACTGACAAAGGTCCCTCAAATTCTAGGTCTACAATGTACTGTCTTACTGACAATGGTCCCTCAAATTCTAGGTCTTCAATGTACTGTCTTACTGACAAAGGTCCCTCAAACTTGAGGTCTACAATGTACTGTCTTACTGACAAAGGTCCCTCAAATTCTAGGTCTACAATGTACTGTCTTACTGACAAAAGTCCCTCAAATTCTAGGTCTACAATGTATTGCCTTTCTGACAATGCTTGTCAGTTTGTTTTTTTTATTTCAGAGGTCACAGGTCAAGGTCACTTTTACTGAAGTCCTGATTATTCAGACACTCTGTCAACTTTCTTTCCTCAGTCTGAAGTCCATGTGCGGCATGCATGCCAATTTCTTTACACAATTTGCAGGCACAGGTCGCTTATTTCCTTAACTCTTTATAGGGCCAGAGTTCTTATATTCATCTTCTGCAAAGCATTATAGGAAAGGCGATAGAATGTCAAAATTATTACAAAAGTAAAAATAGAAAGTGATATGTGTGAGTTGTGTTTCTAGTTCTGAAAATCATGAAGCTTGAAATGGTATTGTAATATGTGTTGATTATCTGTTGAAGTTTGATTGAAGGCAAGACATGAAATTGAGGCAGAGCCACAATGAATGTAACCGTAAATGGAACATGCAATTATCTTAATATTCTTATGAGATTTCCTATAGGACAGAGAACACACAAACGTTTCGTGGAATGTTGGTAATGCTGAATGACTGCCTTCAATTATCATTGTAAAGAAAAATATTTTGTTTTCCAGCTGAAGGTCCCATGCGGTTGGTCAACTATAAAGATGATGCAAGCCATTATGATCGGGACAATTCCTGCCCGCCCTCCAGTCTTTACACCTCCTATGTTACCTTCAGCACCAGGAACAGATTTCTCTTCTATCAGCCCCAACCCAAGTGTGGAACCACCAGCATACTCTGCTCCAGATGCACGTATGTATTTGTTATAGCCCAGGGAAGGTACACTGAGTGTGTATCAATATTTGTGTTATAGCCCTGTCCTAGTACACTGAGTGTGTATCAATATTTCTGTTATAGCCCTGTCCTAGTACACTGAGTGTGTATCAATATTTGTGTTATAGTCCTGGCCTAGTACACTGAGTTTGTATCAATATTTGTGTTATAGCCCTGCCCTAGTACACTGAGTGTGTATCAATATTTGTGTTATAGCCCTGCCCTAGTACACTGAGTGTGAATCAATATTTCTGTTATAGCCCTGTCCTAGTACACTGAGTGTGAATCAATATTTCTGTTATAGCCCTGCCCTAGTACACTGAGTGTGTATCAATATTTCTGTTATAGCCCTGTCCTAGTACACTGAGTGTGTATCAATATTTCTGTTATAGCCCTGCCCTAGTACACAGAGTGTGTATCAATATTTGTGTTATAGCCCTGTCCTAGTACACTGAGTGTGTATCAATATTTCTGTTATAGCCCTGCCCTAGTACACTGAGTGTGAATCAATATTTCTGTTATAGCCCTGTCCTAGTACACTGAGTGTGAATCAATATTTGTGTTATAGCCCTGCCCTAGTACACTGAGTGTGTATCAATATTTCTGTTATAGCCCTGTCCTAGTACACTGAGTGTGTATCAATATTTCTGTTATAGCCCTGCCCTAGTACACAGAGTGTGTATCAATATTTGTGTTATAGCCCTGTCCTAGTACACTGAGTGTGTATCAATATTTCTGTTATAGCCCTGTCCTAGTACACTGAGTGTGAATCAATATTTCTGTTATAGTCCTGGCCTAGTACACTGAGTGTGTATCAATATTTCTGTTATAGCCCTGTCCTAGTACACTGAGTGTGAATCAATATTTCTGTTATAGTCCTGGCCTAGTACACTGAGTGTGTATCAATATTTGTGTTATAGCCCTGTCCTAGTACACTGAGTGTGAATCAATATTTCTGTTATAGTCCTGGCCTAGTACACTGAGTGTGTATCAATATTTCTGTTATAGTCCTGGCCTAGTACACTGAGTGTGAATCAATATTTCTGTTATAGTCCTGGCCTAGTACACTGAGTGTGTATCAATATTTGTGTTATAGCCCTGTCCTAGTACACTGAGTGTGTATCAATATTTGTGTTATAGCCCTGTCCTAGTACACTGAGTGTGTATCAATATTTCTGTTATAGCCCTGGCCTAGTACACTGAGTGTGTATCAATATTTCTGTTATAGCCCTGCCCTAGTACACTGTGTATAAGTACCAATACTTTTCTCTGTTGAAGCTTTGCCCATGTATGCTGAATGGTTACCAAATTTTTGTTGCAGCCCCACCCTCCTATGCTGAGTGTGTATTTGGTCGTGTGACTATCCAGGATGAGAATGATGATGAACATACAGGTGGAGAGAGTTCCTGGGCACCTGCCTACCCTTACTATGATTGGAGTCGCCATACCAACCAAACGTATGGAGGTGCACAAGCAACAGTGCCACAGATGGCGCCACCTGCTTATGACGAATAATGCCTATTAGATCACTTGTGTATTCGCATTTGTATTTTGCCTCACCTGTAAACTATCTTGAAAAAAAATTCAGATTATTTTTTATAGAAAATTTGTCCTAGCTACAATTATTGTAAGCAAACTGATGAGGTTTGGTTTACCAAATACTGAGCTACATTATTGCCTCCTGGGTAGAAGCTTTCCCGACTGTGTATGTAAAAAACAGATACTTACTGGATTTTTAAACTTGAGGCTTTCATGAAGCTGAAGGCAAGACATTAAAAAATCTCAGTCTTTAGCTGATTTTAAATTCTCCTACTTTACTGTCATACCATCATTGTATGAGATGTTTATTTTACACATTTTTTAAACCCCTAACAACCTTCCAAATGCTGGATAAGAGAAAAGTTGTACATTAAAATAATATAGTATAGTATGTTGCAGTTCTATGACATATATGTTGTAACATCTAATGTAAATAGGTAAAGACATTATTGTCTCCTACCCCGTACAGAGATATCCTCAATATTGTCTCCGCTATATCAGTAATCTATCTTTCATCAATGTCTTCCAGTTAAAGAGCATTAAATAACTATAAATCAGCATAATTTTCAAAGGTAAGAAAATTTGTGTTACATGTATACCATTGTAATTACAGCTGTAATTAGTTATACACTCCGTGTAATGTAATTACAGCTGTACTAAGTTATACACTCTGTGTAATGTAATTACAGCTGTACTTAATTATACACTCTGTGTAATGTAATTACAGCTGTACTTAGTTATACACTCTGTGTAATGTAATTACAGCTATACTTAATTATACACTCTGTGTAATGTAATTACAGCTGTACTTAGTTATACACTCTGTGTAATGTAATTACAGCTGTACTAAGTTATACACTCTGTGTAATGTAATTACAGCTATACTTAATTATACACTCTGTGTAATGTAATTACAGCTGTACTTAGTTATACACTCTGTGTAATGTAATTGCACCTATACTTAATTATACACTCTGTGTAATGTAATTACAGCTATACTTAATTATACACTCTGTGTAATGTAATTACAGCTGTACTTAGTTATACACTCTGTGTAATGTAATTACAGCTGTACTAAGTTATACGCTCTATGTAATGTAATTACAGCTGTACTTAGTTACACACTCTGTGTAATGTAATTACAGCTGTACTTAGTTATACACTCTGTGCAATGTAATTACAGCTGTAATTAATTATACTCTCTGTGTAATGTAATTACAGCTGTACTAAGTTATACACTCTGTGTAATGTAATTACAGCTATACTTAATTATACACTCTGTGTAATGTAATTACAGCTGTACTAAGTTATACGCTCTATGTAATGTAATTACAGCTGTACTTAGTTACACACTCTGTGTAATGTAATTACAGCTATACTTAATTATACACTCTGTGTAATGTAATTACAGCTGTACTTAGTTATACACTCTGTGTAATGTAATTACAGCTGTACTAAGTTATACGCTCTATGTAATGTAATTACAGCTGTACTTAGTTACACACTCTGTGTAATATAATTACAGCTGTACTTAGTTATACACTCTGTGCAATGTAATTACAGCTGTAATTAATTATACTCTCTGTGTAATGTAATTACAGCTGTACTTAATTATACACTTTAATGTAATTACAGCTGCACTTAATTATACACTCTGTGTAATGTAATTACAGCTGTACTTAGTTATACACTCTGTGTAATGTAATTACAGCTGTACTTAGTTATACACCCTGTGTAATGTAATTACAGCTGTACTTAGTTATACACTCTGTGTAATGTAATTACAGCTGTACTTAATTATACACCCTGTGTAATGTAATTACAGCTGTACTTAGTTATACACTCTGTGTAATGTAATTACAGCTGTACTTAGTTATACACTCTGTGTAATGTAATTACAGCTGTACTTAGTTATACACTCTGTGTAATGTAATTACAGCTGTACTTAGTTATACACTCTGTGTAATGTAATTACAGCTGTACTTAGTTATACACCCTGTGTAATGTAATTACAGCTGTACTTAGTTATACACCCTATGTAATGTAATTACAGCTGTACTTAGTTATACTCTCTGTGTAATGAAATTACAGCTGTACTTAGTTATACACTCTGTGTAATGTAATTACAGCTGTACTTAGTTATACACTCTGTGTAATGTAATTACAGCTGTACTTAGTTATACACTCTGTGTAATGTAATTACAGCTGTACTTAGTTATACACTCTGTGTAATGTAATTACAGCTGTACTTAGTTATACACTCTGTGTAATGTAATTACAGCTGTACTTAGTTATACGCTCTGTGTAATGTAATTACAGCTGTACTTAGTTACACACTCTGTGTAATGTAATTACAGCTGTACTTAATTACACACTCTGTGTAATGTAATTACAGCTGTACTTAGTTATACACTCTGTGTAATGTAATTACAGCTGTACTTAGTTATACACTCTGTGTAATGTAATTACAGCTGTACTTAGTTATACACTCTGTGTAATGTAATTACAGCTGTAATTAATTATACTCTCTGTGTAATGTAATTACAGCTGTACTTAGTTATACACTCTGTGTAATGTAATTACAGCTGTACTTAGTTATACACTCTGTGTAATGTAATTACAGCTGTACTTAGTTATACACTCTGTGTAATGTAATTACAGCTGTACTTAGTTATACACTCTGTGTAATGTAATTACAGCTGTAATTAATTACAAATGTACAGATTTAAAGCTATTAACATTATAGGTACCATTTTATCAGGTTAGTGTAATGTAGTATTATTTACAGTTAAAAGCAACATTATAAATGGACGTAGAACAAAAAATATATCTATATATATCTGTCAGTAAATCTATATCTGGTGATATCCCTACCCATGTTAGTTACTCTTCAGTAGAATTTAAACATCTTCTTTTCATTGTCATTTAGGCAGTCTATGTCTGGTCATATCCCCACCCATGTCTGTTACTCTTCTGTAGAATTTAAACATCTTCTTTTCATTGTCCCTCAGTAAGTCTATGTCCGGTCATATCCCCACCCATGTCTGTTACTCTTCTGTAGAATTTAAACATCTTCTTTTCATTGTCCCTCAGTAAGTCTATGTCTGGTCATATCCCCACCCATGTCTGTTACTCTTCTGTAGAATTTAAACATCTTCTTTTCATTGTCCCTCATTAAGTCTATGTCCGGTCATATCCCCACCCATGTCTGTTACTCTTCTGTAGAATTTAAACATCTTCTTTTCATTGTCCCTCATTAAGTCTATGTCCGGTCATATCCCCACCCATGTCTGTTACTCTTCAGAAAAGATTTCAACTATTACGATTTAATTGTCCAGTAATAAGCCCGCCCTCTACTTTGCATCAAAGTTTACATGTTGGGTGGCCTCTTTAGCTTACTACATTAAGACAAAATTGCAATTAATTGATGTTTACCTGTTTAACAGTTGTGCTTCATGAGGAAGACTGAATTCTTCAATGGGTTTAGATATGTTTACCACTGTGTTGTGTTCTGAGAGTACTAAATAAACATGATTAACATTATATTATTGATTTTTGGTTGTTGTCCATGCTTATTTATTATCATTATTGTTTTTTTATGTTAGCAATATATTTGTTTACAAATCAGTTTAACTTCCTGATTCGCATAATTATTGTTTTCCAATCATTGTACGGAAATCTTCCTAAGATACATGTTGTTTTTTTCTTAGTTGAAGTATTATGATAGTAAAATTTAAGGTTGTTGAACAATTACAACACAGATTTAGAAGTCTGTGGTTGTATGTTGTAATTCTTGGGGGATTTACCATAGTGCAAGTGTGACGTCATCAAAAAATCAGGTTTCAATAGTAAAAAAAGTGTGGATTTAGTCAGTCCTGGATAGAAGGAGGAAAAACTGTTAAGGATTTAACATGACTGCTGTGTTATTCAATGAATAACCCAATTGGTGAATTTGAAAATGTGTTTCTTGTTATGATGTCAGGTTTTTTTTTATTAAGGAAACGAGGTCTTACAGTTACAGGTGTCTCAACAACAATAGAAAAACAGGGTGACTAAGATGACTTACAGGAAATGGAAATTCTGTAGGATTCAATATATTGCAGTAAATATGATTTAGCATCATTTTTGTACTGTAGGTTAGCTTTATTAAACTTGTGTATTTATTCCAGATAAATATAGGCACATTGATAAACTTTTATTATACTTCACTGTAAACACTTGACATTCAAAACTATCAGTTTTGTGTATGGTTGATTGATTTCTTGTGTAAAATCATCAGTTTTGTGTATGGTTGATTGATTTCTTGTGTAAAATCATCAGTTTTGTGTATGGTTGATTGATTTCTTGTGTAAAATCATCAGTTTTGTGTATGGTTGATTGATTTCTTGTGTAAAATCATCAGTTTTGTGTATGGTTGATTGATTTCTTGTGTAAAATCATCAGTTTTGTGTAAGGTCGATTGATTTCTTGTCAATGGCTACACTCAAAACTATACAGAATATTTATATCAATAGATCAGAGAAGTGAAAATCATGATTGTGAAGCAGCTTTGAAGGTTGAACCTGATGACTTTTCCAAAGCAGTTTGAGGAAAAGGTTTTTTCTGTAGCAAATGCAGGGCTAAATCAAGGCATTGATTCTATCAATCCATTGCCTACTTCTTATTCACCAAGAAGCCATAATGGTGATTGGCCGGAGTGACTGTGTCATTAAGGAACTTGACTGTTTCCTTTCTTTGTGATGATTTTCAAATGTGAAAATTAAGTAAATTTACTGAAAATTAGAAAATTTCTCTGAAAAAGTAGTAAATTCACTGCATTTCTATAAATTCACAGAAAATTTGTGAAATTTAACCAAAAAAAGTAACATTGAAAATAATTTGTAGAAGTGTTCATTTTTCTAGACTTTTTATGTTTTATTATGTCTTGTGTGTATTAATCTTACCTCTATATACCTCTTTTGATATGAAACCAAGTATTTTTGTGATTTCTTTACTTATTTTATATAAACAATTAAATGTAAAAAAATATGGGTATCGTTGTATCCTGTAAACGCAGTATATACATATTGTACTATCTAGATTTCATTTATGCAGAAGATTATAAATCCTGTTTAAGAATAATTGTGATTCTGCTTTTTATATAACAACAGAGTATTTTCGTATGTTGCCTGATGTACCTATATGACGTCATATAACCACATAATATATGTATGTAATATTGATATGAAATATGTAACTTGTTTTTGGTGATTTTTTGTAAATTTTGTCATATTACCCTGTTTATGAAATAAGGTTCACTGGTTCATTGTTCATGTCCTTAGATTTAACATAAAAAAATACAGCAGGAGCCTAAAAAGGGATTGGTCACATTTTCTGTTTCACATCTACATGTTTAAGAACGGCGCTATCAGCCAGCCTACTTGTATGAGAAGAGAGATCTATTTATCATTGTCTCGTAGAATATCTCAGAAAATCAGAAGCAAAATATTATGAAAACACAAAAAAAAAGTTTTAATCGTTCAATTTAATTTCATTGTCTACCCTGTCAGAAACCATTTGTATACATCCTTATGGAAAAAATTACCAGTTCAT